GACCATTTTTTCCCTTGCCTGAGGATGAAATGTCTGTGTCAGGCAGGCCCCATAATTTTCTCCTGGCTTTAAGATAATAAAAAGATCTCTGGTCACTTTAAACCTCAAATGCAGTCTCAATTCAGTAATTAAAATGGTCTATTCCTAGATAATAAAAAATCTGGGCTTGTTTTAATGCCAGTTCAAGGGGTCCTTTACAGTGGAGAAGGGGGAAGGTCTTTGGCTTCCCAGCCCAGGGTTTCTCCTTCTCTCCCAGCTGACCTGGGAGTTTCTGAGGTTTCTGACCCTTTCAGAGTTTGACTGGTGGAGGGTAGGATGAGGGGATGAGGGTATCTCCAGGAGGCAGACATGAGTCTGTTGGCTGAGGCTTCCTCTCTGGACACCTTCTTCAAACCTCACGAAGACCCCTTAACCTCCAGTTTTGCACACTATCTGCCACACAGCAGAACCAACTCACTGGAGTCCCTTTGACCAGGTTTAGATGGTTTCTTAGAAAATCTGGATGGCTGCAGGACAGTGCACTCTCCTTGTTGAGGAAGTGGGGCTCAGATCTGTCTTGCTCAGGCAGGGACTTCCCATCTCTGCTACACTGCTCCTTCTGTGTTGCTTTCTCAGGGTGACAGGCACTGCCTCTCACTTGAGATTCCATGGTAGTGTGGGGGCGGGGGGTCAGACATCAGTTTAAGTGTTCCCATCCCTTGAGAGGCCACATCATGGGGCCTCTGTGGGTCCCATTAAGGGCCCTTCTGTAGCTACAGGTGACGGAGGTAATATTGCCCACCATCCCTGGCTTTTTGTTCAACTCCAGCCACTCTTTAACTCTCTTTTGCATACTTTAATCTTAGTCAGAGTTCCTGCTGAGAGGTCTAAGGATTGTGAAATTTGTTCTCAGCCTCTTCACTTTGGTATGTAGCATCAATTATGTTGAAATTGCCTTTTTAACATCCTGTAATGCTGCTCATTGGATGCCCAGTGGCTGCTCTCTCTCCTGGAGATGGTGCTTGGACAGGTTTGGGAAGCTGTTCTACCTCCCTCCTTAGCCATGTGGCTTGACAGAGAGGTGGCCCCATACCAGCTTCAGCAGTGAGTCCTGATGGGTGTAGCCCAATCAGCATATTCTCTCCCTCTAACTACAGGGATTGACTCAGCCATGGGTACCTCGTATGGCTTGAATGTGTTCCCTCAAAAGCATGTGTTGGAAACTTACTCCCTAGTGCAACAGTGTTGGCAGGTAAGGCCTAATGGGAGGTATTTAGGTAATGAGGGCTCTACCCTCATGAATGGGTTAATGCTAATTACAAACTGTAAAAGGGATTGAGGTTGAGAGTTCAATCTCCTGTTCTCTCTTGCCCTCTCTTTGCCTTTCTGCCATAGGATGATGCAGCAGCAAGGTCTTTGTCAGATGCTGGCCCCTCAATCTTGGACTTCCCAGCCCCTAGAATCATGAGCCAATACATTTCTATTCATTATAAATGACCTGGCCTCAGGTGTTATGTTATAGCAGCACAAAGTGGACTGAGGCAAAAAAAAAAATTGGTACTGGAGAAATGGATGTTGCTATAATAAATACTTGAAAATGTGAATATGGCTTTGGTGCTGGGTAATGGGCAGAGGCTGGGAGAGTTTGGAGGGGCAGGCTAGAAAAAGCCTGTATTGCAGTGAATAGAGCATTAAGGGTGATTCTGGAAAAAGTACTTAGGAAAAGCCTAGAACTTCTTAGAGATTACTTAAGTGACTATGATCAGAATGTGGGTAGAAATATGAAAAGCAAAGGCCATTCTGATGAGGTCTCAGGTGGAAAAGAGGAATATGTTATTGGAAACTGGAGTCAAGGCCATCCTTGTTAGGGAGTGGCAAAGAACTTGGCTGAATTGCATCTATGCCCTGGGTTTTATGGAAAGCAGAATTTAAGAGGGATGAACTAGAATATCTGGTGGAAAATATTTCTAAGCAAAATATTTAAGAAGCTGCATGGCTTCTTTTAACTGCATGCAGTAAAATGATAGATAAGATTTAAAGACAGAATTTATAATTAAAAGGAAACAGAACTTAGGGATTTGAAGGATGCTTGGTCTGGTCATGTGGTAGAAAATGAAAGAGCATTTTCAGGAGAGAAAACCAAGGCTGTGGCCAAGCCATTGACTGATCACGAGATTATTATGCATAAAATGAAGCCAGAGGTTATTCTTCAGGACAATGGAAGAAGAACCCCTAAGGTACTTTGGAGATTACCGATGCTGTCTGCCCACCAGAGGCCAGAATGCCAAAGTCAAATGGCTTCTGGTCATAGCAGAGAAATAAGCTATAACATATAATGTTGATGTGTAGTAGCTATACCATCTATGCCTGTGCAAGTACACTCTATGATGTTCACACAAGGACAAATTTCTCAGAACCTAGCCCTGAATTAAGTGGTGCATGACTGCATGTCAAAAAAGAGGCCTAGGGCACCCTGGGGACCTTGAGGCTCACTGCCCAGAGTTGGCTCAAGTCTCTGCTCCCAGAATTTTGGCAAAAAGCTCCTAGGTTACTCCAGGTGTGGCTCAAGGGGGATCAAGTATGGCTCAGGCCACAGTTTTAGCAGGTGCAAACAGCACCTCTTGGGCAGCATCCATGTGATGTTAAGTCTGCAAGTGTGCAAATGCAAAAGCTGTGGAAGCATAGCTTCTTCCACCTAGATTTCAAAGAATATCCCAGACAGCCTGGGGGCTCAGGCAGAGACTTATCCCAGGGTGGACCCCCTGCAGGGAGTCCCACTAGGGCAATGCTTCGTGGAGCCATGAGGATGGGATCACCCCCAAAATTCCAGAACTGTAGAACTACCAGCATGCAACACCAGCCTGGGAGAGTGGCAGACACCTGACTTTACCCAGTGAGAGCAGCTATATGAGCTGAGCCTGGTAAAGCCATGGGGTAGGGCTGCTGGAGTCCTTGTGGGCCCAACCCCCACCTCAGTGACCCAAAATGTGGGACATGAAGTCAAGGAAGATTATTCTGGAGCCCAAAGATTTAATATTATTTGTCCTGTTGGGTTTTGGACTTACTTGGAACTAGTTGTTCTTGTCTTCTTGTGTATTTCCCCCTTTTGGAATGGGGATGTCTATGCTATGCTTGTCTCACCATTGTTTTGGAAGTAGGTAACTCTTGGTTTCAGACTCACAGTTGGAAGGAAATCTGCCTTAGGATGAATCCTGCCTTGAGTCTTACCTGTATCTGATTTAGATAAGACTCTGACTTTAGACTTTTGAGTTCATGCTGGAATGAGTTAAGACTTCTGGGGCTCTGGGATGGAATGAATATAGTTTATATGTAAGAAGAACATAAATCTTGGGGGCCAGGTGTGAAATGATATGGTTTGAATGTGTCCCCTAAAAGCATATATTGGAAACTTGATCCTCAATGTAACAGTGTTGAGAGGTGGGGCCTAATGGGAGGTGTTTAGGTCATGAGGGCTCCACCCTCATAAATAGATTAATGCTAGTTATGAATTATAAAAGGGTTTGAGGCTGCAAGTAGAATCTATTGCTCTCTCTTATCCTCTCTTTGCCCTTCTGTCACAGATGATGCAGCAGCAAGGCCCTTGCCAGGTGCTTACCCATCGATTTTGGACTTCCCAGCCTCCAGAACCATGAGCCAGTAAATTTCTATTCATTATGAATTACCCAGTCTCAGGTATTATGTTATGGCAGTGCAAAGTGGACTAAGACAGCACCGAAACAATCACCACAGAGAGGGGGTGAGGAAACATGCTGGGGATTTTACATGGGAAGATGCAGTCTCTGTTCTGTGAGGATGAACAAAAAAGACCCTTTCTCTTTCCCTGGACAGTGGGGTAGGAGGCTGTGAGGTTTGGAATTTTGACGGTCATTTTGACAGCCATTTTGCTGACACAAGGGGAGAGTGTGGAGCTACCAGGAACCACCATATGGACCCTGAGGATGAGCGAAGACCACAGAAGGCTCTGTGCCTTGGTCATGAGAACTCAGGTCCTGGTGACATCATTAGAGTCACCAACTCAAGTTTTCTAAAACTAGTCCTCAGCTGGGGATAATTTTTCCTCTTCTCCCCAAGGAGACATTTGGCAATGTCTGGAGGCATTTTTTGGTTATTATAACTTGGGAGGAGGGGGAGGTGCTACTGACATCTAGTGGGTGGAGTCCAAGGATGCTGCTAAATATCCTATAATACACAGGACAGCTCCCACAACAAAGAATTATCCAGCCCAAAATGCCAGGAGCAATGAGGTTAAAAAACCCTGCTCTAACACCAAAACTATATCTGGACTGTTCAATTATTTGAGCCAATGTGTTCTTTTGTTTATTTATTTTTGATGTTTGGTTGGTTTTCTATGATTTGCAGTTGAAAGAATCCTGACTGACAGTTCCTAAACAGGACACCTTCCCAACCCCAAATTCCCTCCTCAGAGCCTCACCTCAGGCCTGCAGGCCCCTCCTGGCAATCAGCCTTCTTGACATAGTCACTCCTTCTGCCTCCTTGGTAGACGCTTTTTAGAAATAGTGTCCTCCCCTCCATGAATCCCCATAAAAAAATCTCATCTCCTCAAGTCTTAAAGATACTTGAATGAAAGCATTTACAATTTTGCTTAAAAAATTCAAGATCACGATTTGAAAATTGTAGTATGAACTATTTCAGACCTACAGAGTAAGTGCTCCCCATCCAGCTTAAGAAATACATCCTTTTCCTGACAGCACTTTCCTCTCCCTCCTCAAGAGAAAACAGTTTCCTAAATTTGGTGCTTATCCTCTCAGGCTTATTTTTTGTATAGTATCTTCTCTTCATGTATTTCTAAATAATACATTTCTTTGAATCTTTAATATATACTTATATAAATGATATATTATATGTATTCTCATTTTTTGCATCTTTGTGTGCAAATACTATGTGTGCAAAGACTATGTGATTTTTCTTTTCTTTTTCCTAACCTCTAGACTACCAGGGAGACTCAGGGTCCCCTAGACTGCTTTAGGTAGCTTTGGGTTCTTCAGGTCTATGTGATGTTTCCTTATGTGAATTTCGATATTCATTCCTCATGGTGAAGCCGGGCCCAATTTTTCCATAAGTAAAAAGAGGTTTTTACTCTTCTCCTCCGTGGAGATTCATGAGCCTGTGTCCTAGAGTGTATGTACACACAATTCTAGTGCATTCACTTACAAGTGAGTGTTGAGTTGTGTGTGTGCACTTTCATATCCTACTAGCTGTTGCTAAATTGGTCTCAAAGGTGACTTGGAATTTACTCATGCTACATATATTGTACAGATGTGCTAGAGGACACAAATATTGTTCTTGGCCCTCATCCATCTCAGTCACTCCTGAGATTCTTTTGCATCTTTGTGTGCAAATACTATGTGAACAAGTACAATAGAAAGAATAAAGAACTCCCCAAAGATGTCCACTCCTAATCTCTGGAACCTAGGAAGACATTAAATTCCATGGCAAAGGGCTTTTGTAGATATCATTAGACTAAGGATCTTGAGATGGGAACATTATTCTGGATTACTCTGGGCCCAGTGTAATCACAAGGTCGTTATAAGAGAGAGGCAGAGGGTCAGAGTCAGAGAAGTCAATGTCATCAAGGCAGCAGAGATCGGAGTGAAGTGAAGAATGCCATGGGCCAGGGAATGCAGGAGGCTCTCTAGAAGCTGGAAAAGGAAAGGAAATAGATTGTCCCCTAGAGGTTTTGGAATGAATGCAGCCCGTTGTCCCACTTTAGCCTCCTGATCTTCAGACAGGTAACATATTAAATGTATGCTGTTTCAAGCTTGTGGTAATTTGTTATAGCAGCAATAGGAAACACACAAGAAGCAAGGCCAACTCAGAGCGAAAATTAAGAAGGCAAAGCTGATCTCTGGTGCGCCCACATGTCCAGTAGCATTTCTGACTTGTAGTTGACTGTCTTAGTCTGTTTAGGCTGCCATAACAAAATACCATAAACTGACTGGCTTATACTCAACAGAAATGTATTTCTCATCATACTAGAGGCTGGGAAGTCCAAGATCAAGGTACCAGCAGCAAGGTGCCTCTGTGTTTGGTGAGGATCCACTGTCTTAGACAGTACTGTGCCCTCTTTATATGGGAAGGAACAAGGAAGTTCACTGGGGCCTCATTTATAAGGACATTAATCCCATCTATGAGATCTAATCACCTTCCAAAGGCCCCATCTCCTAGTACCATCGTCTTGGGTGTTAGGATTTCCATATATAAATTTGGGGAGAAACATAAACATTCAGACCATGGCATAGGCATTTAACAAAGGTTAAGTCCCTTCTCTTTTCCTCCATGTTCAATCAATCCCAAGTGCTGACTCCTCAGGCTGCCCTGAAGGTCCTAGTTAAGAGGAAATGTCCTACTACAGATTTAAATGTGAAAATGTCTAGGATACCCCTTAGAAGCTTCGACAAAAGGAAATCACATTCTTATGTTAGGCACTGCCCAAGGTGCCTTCACGTGGTATATCATTTAAGCCTCACAGCAACCCTGAGAGGTAATAATAATAATACCAACCATCATAGATACTTATTGAGATGTGTTTTTGATTCTAGGCTCCAGGCAAGGGATGAATTGAACTGTACAGCTAGTCATGGTTGTCTCCTTTTCTACTGATGAAGAAATCAAGTAAAGCTAAGTTATTTTCCAAGACCCCAAAGCTAGTATGTCATGGAGCAAGGGTTTATAATCCAAACCCGTGTGATCTCAAAGTTTCTGCTTCTTCTATGGAAATTTCCTGATGAAACAGCTGTAAAGGCAGTCCTTCCCTACATAGCACACAACCGTAGTTCTCCTCCGTCCTGTCAATATTCTATGTCCATAGTGAATACTGCCTTCTCAATGCTAGAGATACCTGTGTTCTGTATTTAGTGACTGTGGAGGATGGGGCAATTCTTCCTCAGTTCCAATTCCTCTGCAAACATTTCCTCCTCCATCTGCTGACCATCACCTTTTGGCTTGCCCGCTCTGAGGCAACAATCAGAGGGCATCTGCAAGGAAAGCATGATGGGTTGCTACCAGCACGACACTCCTAAGTGTGCATGTGTGTGTGTGCACACGCGTGTGCATTCTTATACATGCACACAGGTGACTGCTGGGCTGCTGTACAAGTCCCTTTAGGATGGCTGGGTTAGACCAAAGGTCTCAAGCCTAGAGACCACTGCAGACTTAGTTCTATTTGTGAAGCTTGGAAATAGGAATAGGGCTGTGCATGAATGAGAAGGCTTCAGTGGCCATTTTTCAGGCACTGTCAGTTTTATGGGCCTGAAAAATATCCCATCTCTACTTAGAAAGTTGCTTAAATGAAAACTCAGATTGCCAAGTTGCAGGTAGGTGTGATCACATGACTAGGCATGGGGTAATAAAAGGTGAGCAGAAGTGATATGTATAACTTCAGGGTCATTCCCAACAGAAGACAAGCCATCTTTCCTGGATGTGGCTCTATTTTACTGTTCCTGAAATTGAGGTTTCTGACTGGCTTCATGAAGCAAAGCTGCCCGTCATCTAGGCTATCTGGATTGTTACGCCAGTGGGAAATAAACTTCTACTTTATGTAAGCCATTCTGTTGTGGGGTATTTTTGTTACAGCAGTTGAGTAGTTTTACCCTAATTAATGTAACTACATTCTACGAAGCATCAAGAGAGCAATTACCCAGGCTTTATATGTGCAAAAAGGATTACATCATTTTGGGCATATGCCTTGCTTTTTTTTTTTTTTTTTTTGACCAGATGGATTACAAACTGGATCATCCACCCCCATCCCTACTTCACTTTTGACTATGCAGTGGAATTGCATCTTAAATTGGGGTAAGTTTCTATAGTTAGGGCGTAAGGTAGGAAATGTTCATATTAAAAATACACTTATGGAGACCATCCTGGCCAACATGGTGAAACCCTGTCTCTACTAAATATACAAAAAATTAGCCAGGCATGGTAGCACGTGCCTGTAATCCCAGCTACTTGGGTGGCTGAAGCAGGAGAATCGCTTGAACCCAGGAGGTGGAGGTTACGGTGAGCCAAGATTGTGCCATTGCACTCCAGCCTGGGCAACAAGAACAAAACTCCACCTAAAAAAAAATACACTTATGGACTCTCAATAAATCCAGTGCAGCCAGCATTTTCTCCAGCATTGAAAGATGGCTATTTCTTTGGTCATGCTCTTGTGGAGGATTGACATTTAGGGACCTTATTCTATGAAAAATATGTTTTAAGATATGCTTATTTCTTTCCACTCTCCCTCAACTTTTTCTTCTTGTCCCTTGGATATAATTGGATTCACCTAGGTTTAACATGTGTATGAAGTAATTCAGTATAAATGCTCATGGCCAATAGCTTGGCTGCCAGGAAGAAGTGGACTCTGAATGCTGGAGGCCAGAGCGATCCCAATCCATCTGGTTTGCTTCAGGTGCAGTCTTGCCTTGGGTTAGGGAGCTGGACACCACGATTTAATGAGATTGCTTTGAGCAAAGGCAAGCAGCCCCCAGAGTGGCAGAGGATGCAGTTGCATGCATAGGTAATTATTTCTGTCTCATCTACCTTAAGTATATAGTGATTTATACCTAAAAATCTTCTTACTCTGGTTTAATGTTTTAATAGATGTTTCAACATGAATCCTTGCAGTATTTTTTATTATTCATTATTTATATATCATTTTTTTCAAACTCAAATTATTTGTTAAATGTTCACTGTGGACATTTGGTAAAGACAAAAATATTATCCGTACTCCCATCACCCTGCCTCAACGACTATTTTCATTTGAGCAGAGTCCCTTTTGATTTTTGTCCAAATGAATAGATTTTTCCTTGTTTGTAGTTATACAAAACATACCATTTTATTTAAAATTTTATTGTTGAATTCTTTCCATGTAGCTACACCTTTGTAATTATAATTTTAAGAGTTGCATAAAAGTCTACTGAATTTATGTATTATATTTTACTCTGCAGTTGGCAGAGTTCATAATGGAGAGAATAATATCTGCTTCTCTGAGTTGTTAAGAGGATTATAAAGATATGTGGTACTTAGCTCAGTGCCTAACATATTACAGGATTGGTAGAGGGCATGGTTTTTGGATACAGCTTTCCTGGCTTGGAATCCCAGCTTCACCTCTATTTAGCTGTATTTTGGAAATTACTTACCCTCTGTGTGCCAGTTTCCTTGGCTATAAAATGGGGATAATAGTAATTCCTAACACATAGGTTTGTTGTGATAATTAAATAAGTTAAGTCCTACATGTGTTGTTGTCATTGTCATCATCCTCATTTTTATTCCTCTCTGATACACTTGCTCTTTGCCAAAGTCTGAGAATCAATCCTTTCAAGTAATTGATTTCGTGTCTTATTGCTTTATCTAAAATTCCCACAGTAATAAATCATCAAAAGCTTATTTGGCATATTTATTTTGTTACTTATTTTAAAGTTCATATGTTTTTATAATTGTCACTAAGCATACAATTGGGTTTCTGTGTACAATGGGTATTATTCTTTATATAAAAGTGGATATTTCTGTCCCTTTCTTTAAAATTTTTAACATAAGGAATAGATGTTAGATTGTATTGAATGGTTCGTATTACCCATTGAAATGATCGTGTTGTTTCTTGCTTAACTATTGAAATGATGTGTGTGTTATTTAACCATTCCTTTTGATTTCCTTTGGATTTTTTCCCTGCTGTGTCTGTAATCACTGCACATAAGGTAAATGGTAGGTATGTTAGTCAGAGTTCTCCATAGAAAGAGAACCAACAGGGTACATAAGAGGAGATTTATTATAAAAATTGGCTAATGTAATTTTGGAGGCCAATAAATACCACGATCTGTTATTTGCAGTCTGGAACCCCAGGAAGGCCAGTGGTATAGTTCCAGTCCAAGCTCAAAGGACTGAGAACTAGGGAGCCAATGGTGTAAGTCCCTATCTGAGTCCAGAGACCTGAGAACCAGGGGTATCAATGTCCAGAGGAGAAGGTGGATAACACAGCTCAAGCAGAGAGCACATTTTCCCTTCCTCTGCCTTTTTGCTCTGTTTGGGGTCTCAGTGGATTGGATGATGCCCACCACATTGATGAGGGTGACTTCCTTTACTCAGTCTATTCAAAAGCAAATATCTTCCAGGAAAAGTCTACCAGACACACCCAGAAATAATGTGCTATCTGGATATCCCTTAGCCCAGTCAAGTTGACACATCAAATTACCCATCCCAGCAGGAAAGTTTAGACAGGGTTTATCTGGGCCTGGAGGTTTTGCGAGTACTCCAGCCAGTGAATGGACAAGAACCAAGTGATCAAGTGAAACCACTTCTATTAACTTCTAAACTGACAATTATAGATGGCTAGCAACAAGTATTAGTTAAAATAATTTAATGTATTTGAGTAATTATTTGCTTAATATTTGAAAATCAATCTTAGCATTTCTACAATATGTAATGTTAAATAGCTTACCTATTTTGAACTTAAATGATATCTTGTATATGACTCTGTGACTGTTAACATGAGCAGACATTTGACAAGTCTACTTGTATCCTTGGAGATGTGTGTTTAGTCACAAGCAACACTACCTGACTCAAAATTTTTCAGAATTCATTAACATTTTATCTGGTAAGAGTATGATTGTTAATTGTGTTTACAAGTAATGTGTGCATAAATAAGTAGAACAGGCAATATTAATAACTGTTAAGAGCTTTTAGAACAGCATATGTCATTACCAAGTATGGCTGATGTGAATAGATTTCTTCACTATAAACCACCTTTATTTTGCAGGAATAAATCATGTATGCTCCTGGTATATTATTCTTTTAATGTAAGGCTGATTTAACTTATTGATATTTTATTTCAATACTTTCTATCTGTATTCAAATATGATGTTGGCATAGATTTTGCTTTGGTTTTGTATCTTTATCAGATTTCAGGTTCTGTATCATACTGACCTCATAGACTAATGTGTTCACCCTAAATGTTTTTCTTGCTTTTGAACAATTTGTTCAAACAATAACCATTTGTATGAGAAATAATTAGCAGCACATCTTTATGGCCATTGTAAATAATCTTCAGGTTAAGTCCAACACTGTTTTTTCATTTTTTTTCTCACACCAGGTTTAGAATGTCATGTTTTTAAGGACATTTTCTTTTTCTACCTTATTGAGGTTTCAAAGTATCTGACATTTCAGGATAATATGCTTCTATAATTTTTAAATTTATTTTATTCAGTGGTTATATTAGCTTTCTGATTTTAACTGTGTTAATTTGAATTTGTTTTTGATTAGCTTTACTAGGTTAGGTTTTCTTATTTTGTCACTTACGTTTTTCCTTCTTATTTCCTTAGGGTTTCTATTGCCATTATCCTTGCCAATAGTGTCCCTTGTCCATGTAACTCTGTCTGCTTTCCTAGTCACAGATATTTGGCTGATGCAGGCAAAGGTCTTCTGAAAGGTAGGATTCACCATTAGAGTCTTACTCACTCGAAGCACAGTTAAGAAACCCAAAGACTGTGATGTTAATTGTAGGGAGCCAGTAAGCAAGGTGAGAGTATATGTGGACCAATATTGTCACTAGAAAAGCCCCATGCAAGATGGAATCAAAAGAAAGAAGGATACCAGCCTAAGCTGTGGAAGCTGCTAGAAAGAAAGACACGTGTGGAGAGAAGCATGGACCAAGAGCCATGTAACCCTGGGGAGATGAAGGTGGACATTCGAGGCACTTTTTATCCCTCTAGCTTCCGTGAGGTCTGACTATACTCTCCCACCATGTATTTTGATGAGGATCCCTCTCTATTTTTATATAACTCTTACTTTACCCTCAGGCTAGAGTTTGTGTTTAATGCTATCAAGCATGTCTTAAGATATTTTCTTATGTTTTTAAACTTAGTGCTCACTTCATTTACTTGATTTTTAAATAATAAAATAATTTAAAGTAACTAAGAGGCTGAAGTGGATGACAATTTTTCTCTCATTCATTACACAGAAGCATCCAGACCCTCTGATTTTTTGGTAATCTTTGATTTGTCCATTTTTTACCTATTCATAGCACCCAACATCAGGATACAATTTATTCTCAATGGTTGTCTTAGTGGTTTCCCAAGTAGATAAGCTACCAGATTCTCATCTCATTCTTTCTCTGAATTACAAATACAAATTAGGTAAAAATAAAATCCATAATTCTGTGAATATATATCTATATCTCCACAGAGAAAAAAAGATAGGAAGAAAATAGACCAAAGTCTTACCAGTGCTTATTCACAGTTTTTATTTTGTTTGTGCTTCTCTGTTTTCTGCAAATAATAAGGGTGCAGTATTTTATAATCAGATAAATGAAATTATATGAGATTAAAAAATGAACAATTAATTTCTGAGTCTGACTTTGCTGTAAAGCAGAGGTTTTTATGTGTCGTGTTTTTGTTTTCATTGATTTCCGCATTTGCTATTATTTGTCCCAAAAGCACTTTTGCAGGGGATTTTTTAAAAATTTACAAGCTTTGAACGTTTTATCTATTTTAACTTATATTACTAATAGAGCACATTTTTATGTGACCACTAGACTCAAGAGAAATTGGGTCACAACCTGGTTTTTGGCTCTTCTGCATCTGCTCTCTTAACTGGTTCTGATCTGTCTTTTCTAGGCAAGTGTAGGACATAAGTGCTTGACACAAGCAGATTTGTTCATTCATTGTTTTCAACTATTATTTGTGTAGGGCTTTCATGTGCCGGCACTGCTCTAGGGTCTAAGGATGGGATACAGAAGGTAACAAGACACACAAAACCGCTGTTTCTGTGGAGTTGATATTCTAAAGAGGAAGCTAAGCAAGGAAGTTAGTGTGCAATGTACAGAAATAAGAGCTACCCAGAAAAACAAGTTTAAATGGAATATGATAGAGATTGGGTTTTCAGGGAGGTGTCTTTGAAGTGGCCATATTTACAATGTGATCTGAAAATACGGAGGAAATTACTCCAGGCAGCAGAGGCACTAGTGTGAAGATCCTAATGTAGAACAAGTGTGGCTATTGAGAAAGACAAGGAAGGTCGGTGTGGCTAGAGCTGAGTGGGCAAGAGAAAGTTCAGTAAGAGATGAGCCTGGAACAGGTCAGTTCATGAATGTGCAGACCAGAGGAAGGGATGTGATTTTTAGGGTTGAAGGGAACCCACTGGAGCATTTTAAGCAGGGAAATAATGTGATTTGTTTTATGTATTGAAAAGATAACTTGAGTACTTTCATTCTGGGCAGATGGAATACATGTACTTTTCCCTATTCCTGCCACTAAGTACAACTAAAAACACTGGATGTTATATATAAAACAAATAACAATGAGAACACATGGACACAGGGAAGGGAGCATCACACACTGGGGTCTGTTAGGGAGTGCTAAGGGAGGGACAGTGTGGGGGCAGGGAGGGTGGGGAGGGATGACATGGGGAGAAATGCCAGATAATAGGTGATGGGGGGATGGAGGCAGCAAAACACTTTGCCATGTATGTACCTATGCAACAATCCTGCATGATCTGCACATGTACCCCAGAACCTAAGGTACAAAAAAAAAAAACCAAAAAGAAGAAGAAGACTCTTAAAGGTAGAGAGAAAGAAAGAAGCAGGCTGGATGGGGACCTCAGGACCTGAGGAATGGCACAATTCTGAGTTTCTTGTTGTTTCTGTAAATTTTAAAATTTTGCCTCATATATCCCAGACTTGGAGCTGAAGAAGCCAGCAACTCAGAAAATGGTACTTATGAAAAACAAAACATAAGAAAAAAGCCACAAACAAACAAAAAGCCCAAACGAAAACTTACTCTCTAGCCAAAGGACCAGGAAATAGGCAAGTTAACATGACAAAAAACTTTTAGGCAATAATCGTTCTATGCTAGGCAAACACCACAAAGGAGCTGTGGGTCACCCCTACCCATGCTAGCAAAAGCTAAATAGGGAGCCTAGACTTTTATCCTTTACTGGCTATAATGAGGACCATGACACCCTTGTGGAGAAAGCGTCAGAGAAGGCCAAGTAGGGAGCTGAGACTTTCATCATGACAGATGGTAATAAGCCCTTGCCCCCCTGCAGTGTGAATGGAAACCAGTTGGATAACCTGTACATCCACCCTTACCTGGCAGTAACTAGATGCCTTTTCCCTTCCCCATTGAAGTGGTGTCAGAGGAAGCCTAGTGGAGATACAGGACTTTCACCACTGCCAAGAAGAAGCCTACCACTTCCTCTTTGTTGTTAGCAGAGGTCACTTGGGGGACAGTAGCAAGGCACTGCTACCCTTCTGAGCCAGGAGGGTGTGAATGAAGACCCAGTGGGGAGCCAGAACTCCCAACCTTCCAGTAGTAATGAGGGACACACCCTCATGGAAGCTGGATTGGGAAGCTGAACTTCTATACCCACCCAGCAATAGAAAGGTGGCCCCAACCCCTTTCTACTGGCAGACAAGTGTCAGAAGAAGCCAGCTAAAAGAGATTTAAATAGGATTCATAGTATAATACCCAAAATGTTTCAAGAGAAAATTACTTGTCATATTACAAACCAGGAAAAGTTCAAACTGAATAAAAAACGACAATCAATACATGCTAATACTGACATGACAGAGAGGTTAGAATCATCTGACAAAAATGTTAAAGCAGCCATCCTAAAAAATGCTCCAAAGAGTGATCATATATGCACTTCAAACAAATGAAAAATAGAAATTCTCAGCTAAGAAATAGAAGATATAAAGTAGAACCAAATAGTAGTACTAAAACACAGAAAAACTGAAATTAAATACTTATTGATGCGGTCAACAGCAGAATGAAGCGGGGGCAAAGGAAGAAATCAGTGATCTGAAAGATGATTACAAATATTACCCAATCTGAACAACAGAGAGAAAGTAGATTAAAAATAAATAAGAAGAGCCTCAGGGACCTGTGTAACTATAATATTCATGTTGTAGGAATGTTGGAAGGAGAGGTGAGAAAAGGTGGGAGTGACAAGTACTAAAAGAAATAATGGTTGAAAACTTCCCAAATTTGGCAAAAACCATAAACATCAGATTCAAGAAGCTGAGCAAACCCCAAACAAAATAAACCCAGATAATTCCATAGTAAGATATCATAGTCAAAGTTCTAAAAATGAGAATCAAACAAACAAACAAACTTGAAACCATTAAAAAAAGTCTTGAAAGCATTGAAGAGAAATGATACCTTATCTATAAGGGAAAGACAATTCGAATGACTACAAGTTTCTCAGCAGAAACAAGGGAGGCCAGAAGAAAGTGGCATAGCATTTTTCAAGTGCTGAAAGAAAAGAACTGTCAACCCAGAATAGACAGTGAAACCGATTTTTGGGAATGAAAGAGAAGTTAAGAAATATTCAGATGAAGGAAAACTATGACAGTATGTTACCAGCAGACATGTCTTAAAAGGATTGCTCAAGGAGGTTCTCTAAACAGAAAGGAACTGATAAAAGAAGGAAATTTGGAACATCCAGAAGGAAGCAAGAATGTAGTACAAGAAAAGGGCAAGTTAAATACATTTTTCTTCTATTCTTGACTTTCTAAAATTATATTTGACAGTTGAAGCAAAAAATTATAACAGTGTCTGATGTGGTTCTAAATGTACATAGAAGGAATATTTAAGACAATTTGTATTACAAATGAGAGAGAAGCAAGGGCCATAAAGAGAAGTAAGACTCCTATATTTCACTTAAACTGATGAAATGATGACACCAGTAGAATATGGTAAGTGATGTATATATAATTTAATACCTAGAGTGACAACTAAAAAGCCTATACAAAGAGTTATACACAAATAAAAACTACATAAATAAATCAAAATATAATTCTAAAAAATTCAAGTAGCCAATGGGGCAGTGAAAAGAAAAAGAACAAAAAACAGAACAGTACAAAACAAAAAATAAAATGGCAGACCTAGGCCCTGAAATATCAATAATATTATTTAATGAAAATGGTCTAAGTTTACCAAATAAAAGAGAAAATTGGCAGAGTGGAATTAAAAGTATGATCTAATTATATGCTGTCTACAAGAAACTCATTCAAATATAACAATACAGACACGTTGAAAGTAAAAGAAATAGACAATGATACATCATGTATTACATTAAAGAAGGAGTGGTTATATTGATATCATATAGAGTAGATTCAGAGCAAATAAGATTACCAGAGCTGAAAATGGACATTATGTAATGATAAAAGAGTCAAATCCACTAAGAAGACATAAAAAATCATAAATACATAGGCATGAAACAGAGGAACTGTAAAGATATGTGAAGGAAAAGCTAATATAACTGAAATGGAAAATAAACAAATTGATAATTGTAGCTGGGTCTTCAGCATTCTTCTTTTAATAATTGATAAGACAACTAGATAGAAAATAAACAAGAATAGAGAATAACTCAATAATATTATCAAACAATAGTATCTAATTATTTATAGAACATTCCCTCCAACAACAGCACAATACAAATTCTTTTGAAACATCCACAGATAACAAGATATACCATATTGTGGGTCATAAAACAAACTTCAACAAATTTAAAACAATTGAAATCATACAGTGTGTTTTCCAACCACAATAGACTCAAGCTATACATCATTAACAGAAAGACAACAGAAAACTATCCAAACATGGAAGCCAAACAATATACTACTAGCAATTCATAGGTCAAAAAGGAAACTCAAGGAAAAAAATTGAAAACAATAAACTAAACAGAAATGAAAATATAACATATAAAAATTTGTAGGTCACAGATAAATAAGTGATTAGAGGAATATTTATAGTACTAAATGTACACATTAGATAAGAGGAAAAGTTTTAAATCATTAATCTAAGCTTTTTTTTCAACAACCCAGGGTAAAAAATGCAAAATGAGCCCAAAGCAAGAAGAAGGAAGAACATAATAAAGAACAGAAATCAATCAAGTCAAAAAGAGAAAAAGAATAGAGAAAATCAATGGAAGAAAATGCTGTTTTTTGGCAAATATCAATAAAATTGACAGACCACTAACAAGACTGATAAAAGAAGCCAAGACACAGAGTGCTAATATCAGGAAGGAGAGGGAATGTCACTACTCTTCAGATATCAAAAGAAGAATAACACTATGAACAGTACTGTGAATATTATTCATAAACATTTGATAATTCAGATAAAATGAACCAATTCTTGAAAAACACAAGCTAGGCCAGGCGTGGTGGCTCACACCTGTAATCTCAGCACGTTGGGAGGCTGAAGCAGGTGGATCACCTGAGGTTGGGAGTTCAAGACTAGCTTGACCAACATGGAAAAACCCCATCTCTACTGAAAAACAAAATAAAACAAAACAAAAAATTAGCCAGGCTTGGTGACACATGCCTGTAATCCAAGGTACTCAGGAGGCTGAGGCAGGAGAATAGCTTGAACCCAGGAGGTGTAGGTTGCAGTGAGCCAAGATCGTGCCATTGCACTCCAGTTTGGGCAGTAAGAGTGAAACTCAGTCTCAAAAAAAAAAAACAGAAACAAAAACAAACAAACAAAAAACACAAACTACCATAACTTACTTAAGGTGAGATGGATAACTTGAATAGACCTATACCTAAATTATTAATTCCAAAACTGCCAAAACGTATTTTTAGGCCTAGATAGCTTCATTGGAAATCTTACTAAATATTCAAAGAATAACACCAATTCTACACAATTTCTTGCAGAAAACAAGGGAAGAGATAACACTTTTCAATTCATTTCATGAAGCTGGTGTTACCTTGATACCAAAACTAGAAAAAGGCATAAAAAAGAAAACTGGGCTGGGGATGGAGGCTCATTTCTGCAATCCTAGCACTTTGAGAGGCCAGATCAGGAGTTTGAGACCATCCTGGACAACATAGTGAGAGTCTGTCTCCATAAATAATAATAATAATAATAAATAGCCAGATTCTTTTACGGAGGCTAAGGTGGTAGGGATCACTTGAGTCCAGGAGTTTGAGGCTGCAGTAAGTGGCAGATTGCACCATGGCAATCCAATTGGGGCAACATAGGGAGACCCTGTCTCTAGAAAAAATAGTAATAAATTAAAAAAAAAACACAAACCAATATCCCTCGTGAATATAGACATAAAATTCTTAAAAAATATTAGCAAATAAAATTCAACAGTATCGGAGTTTTATAGTTTGCTCATATAGATCTTGTACCTATTTTGTTAGATTTATTAAGTATTTAATGTGTGGGAGGGCTGCTATAAATAGTATTGTTTTACATTTCAAATTCCAATTGCTCTTTGCTAGCAT